CCACGTAATTAAGACAGAAATCGAGTTATTTTTTAAAAAGTTATCCTTTTAGAGATTTGAAAAGGTGATAGTAAATTACAATATTGAACGCACAAAAATCCAACATCAATAAAAAAAACCCTTAGTTGTTATGATAAATTTGAATTTAAGTGACGCAGTAGTGGACCTAACCGCCATGGTTTTTATGGGGATTTTGACCTCCAAAAAGATTTTTAGAGTAATAAATTTATATCGTAATTTAACCAAATTTCTTAGAAAAAAGGAACCTCTCGTAAGCTGGTAAGTCATAAATATGAAGGAAAAGGGACTGTCCATAAAAAAAAGTATCCATCACCCCCCCCCCCCCCCCCAACCACCACCACCCGACAACGTGTTTTTCTTGTTTGGAAAGTTTTTTCAGTCAATTTTTTTTTAATCGATTGTTATTTTTGAGTAGGTATATATGGACCTAAAGTGGTATGCTTCGTGTACTCCGTGGTACTGCTTCGGCGTGGATTAGTCAGGGAACCAGGCTAATATGGACCATCTCTTGCGTTCCAGGAAAAAAGTCAGGATCCGCCCCGAAATGAAAATTAAAATACTCAGTGACATTTTCCCTTTCTTTTTTTGTCTCCATTCATATAAAAAGAACAACTCTATTTCTGTCTGTTCAACTTCTCTTAATATTTAGTGTTCTTGGAAATTATTGAGAATAAATGAATAATACAAAACCGGTTGTGGAGAGGCAGGAATGTTTTCTAAGCGGAATAAAAATCTATAAGAAAATGAACACCTTATACTTATGGTTGGAATTTGATAGAAGTTGACATTTTATTCATTTTATTAAATTGTAAATATGAAGTGTCAGGAGAGTAATATATATATTATCCATTAAAATGCACGGGTTCATCACATGATCAAATTATCCAACCAAATGCACGGGTTCATCACATGATCAAATTATCCAACCAAATACACGGGTTCATCACATGATCAAATTATCCAACCAAATGCACAGGTTCATCGCATGATCAAATTCAATAAAACCGAAGGGTAAGCTGGTAATGTTACGTGTACAAGTATGAAAACACACCTCGTACTCTAATGATGTTTTGTATCATTTCGGGAAGTGTACGTATCAATAGTAATTAAAACTGTTTAATAGTGTGGGCACTCAAGAAAATCATGATTGTAAGAATAGTCCAAGAATAACAAATAGGTTGTTCAAAATTCCGGGCAATATCTTTAAAGCGACACTGTGACGCACACACGGGAAAATTGACAAACATAGAATTTTTACATGACCCTTGCAAATTTTGTTCAATTCCTAAAAGTATTAGGTTTCAGAAAATTACAGGTTTGGGAACCTAAAAAATCTATTTTTATGGAGAAAAAAGTAATTTCTGTATAGCCCAACACGAAAATATTGTTTTACTATTTCCTCCTTATTGTACGCGTGCGCAGAAAAGTTGAAGAAGTTACCATGGTCTCAAGTACCAAAAAATGAATGTCGGTAGACCAAGAATTTTGATACAATCTTCAAAAAAAGATTATTAGAACATATTTCTCACCTTTGCATGTTCCGATTGAATGTTGTTTACAAGTTTACGCTAAAAATAAAAGTGGCGTTACCTTGACATGCACGATAACAACGAAACGGTAGATACAACCTTTGTTTTTCCGGCACTTTTATTGTGCAGTCTTTTCCTGCTCTGCAGTGCAATTTATTTGTCATATTCTCGCTATACTCGTAATTTTCATTAATCTTTCGCTTTATGATACAGATATCTTAAAAGAAACACATGATTTTGCCTCATTATGTAACTTTAAAAGTCTTTGAGCTTTTGCAATGAAATTATATATCACAACTCCTTCAGGCCTAAAAAAGATCCCTTCTGATTTTGAGGTCCAAAGGTCAAAGGACAAGGTAAAAAATATACATTACAAATAATATTTTCTAGATGATAACTTTTTGTTTTCTTTGAGTTTTCTTCAATAAAGTTTGATATCACAACTCCCAATCATGTAAAGAAGATCCCTATCGATTTTGAGGCCAAAAGGTAATAAATTCATACATTGTTTTTGTTTCCGGACAATATATTAAGTCTTTGCAATGAAAAAAGTTTATATCACAACTCCCCATGACCCAAACCCCAAAGGTCAAGGTCAGATATATATATATATATATATATATATATATATATATATATATATATATATATATATATATATATATATATATATATATATATATAGTTTTCAGATCATAGTTTTTCTGTAAGCTTTTGCAATGAAACTTTTCGTCATGAATTTTTAACTTTAAAAAGATTCCTATTGACTTTAAGGTCAAAAGCTGAAAGGTCAAGGTTGAACCTTTTTATTTTTCCATCTGCAAAATTTTTCCAGTTCTTCCACCCTATTCTTTTTTCCTTAAGTGGGTGGCATAAATTTCTGAAATACATGTAGTTTGTTTTTCTATCCTTTCTCTGCAATACTCGGAACACATTGATCTTCCTAAACGGCATTTAACATTCTATTAGATAGACTTGGTAATGGATCTGAATGTGCACAAAGTTTAGGAATTGTTATTAAAGTGTAAATAGTCTAAATTATTGATAGTTTCATATCAATTCTATCCAATTAAAAATACGGTTATTTTTTCATGAAGCGCTAGCGCGCTTAATGAAATATGCCTACGTGACAAGTCTGTGTGATTTACACACCGATAACTCACACAATACTTAAAAAACATTCCTTAAATATACATGTATGATGAAGAGGTTATGTTGCTTTATGATGAAAATCAGAACATTCTTGTTCACTAAATAGTAAGAAATAAATTAAAAGAAGGAAGAAACAAAATCTATTTAAACATACGAGTTTATATTTTCTGTCACCATTATTCCATCTTCGCTAGCCAAGGATTTCTCATCCGCTACTCTCCTCATAATCCCTTGGCCTACGGTGCTGTCAAAAGTTGGGATTTTTTTCTCGAGTTGTGATTGGAGTTGATTGATATAGATCGAACAATCAGCAATTGTTGTTGTTTTTTTTTTTTTTTTTTTTTTTTTTTTTTTTTTTTGTAAATGACGATATCTGCGTTCGGGATATATCTTGACTCTTTAGTCTTGGGAATGAAAAACAAACTAAACAACGATCCGTAAGATAACGTCATTCTATAAATAGTTAAGGTGTCATCCAATCTTAAGTTGAAAGTGCAAATAAAGTGACCTGGAATCTATTTTACAGATGTAGATTTTCACCCTAAATAACAAGTAAACATCGCTCGATACCTTCTTGTTAATTATTCTCTAAAACTTCAATGTTTAAATTTGTTTTTTATTTCTATCGATGACGCAATCTGTGCGTATGTAGTAAGATTCGAGATCACGTGAAGTAAACATTCTCGTCTTTTGACAGCACCAAGGGTTTGTGAGGAGAGTAGCGGATCAGAAACCCTTGGCTAGCGAAGATGCCATTATTCAAGAGTTAATTCTTTAGAATAACGCTTTATAAAGCCAGAAAGTATGGAAGTTATGATAAAGTGACGTCAAGAAAATCAGTATTTCATACATGTACATGTAGAGGCACATTCAGTTATGTATCCCTCATCAGGAGGAGGCATCTTGTTTATACTGAAATATTGAATTCATGTCTACCTATGAACACATGATTAAACTGAAATCAAACTTGAGTACTACTACATGTATATTGTTGCTGACATCCTCACAACGTCATGGGTCCTGAGTCTATTCGTAACCGTCAGACCCTTGACAAACTTGATTTTTTCCCGGGCCAGCTTCTCTCATTGAGAAGCAATAATCAAATTAGAGCTTTTATAAGTTAACATAAAATGAAAGTAGAAAGGAAGCAGTTGACACCTTAATGCACATGTTGCAAGTTGTTTGTCACCGAAAGGCTTAATATAGGTCGAGAGATAAGAAAAGCTGTTGCTGCAGTCAGCCTGTTAAAAATGAATTAAATTTGTCAGGGGTCCCATGGGCACGAATGGACTCAAGACTTCTGACGTTGTGAGGATGTGTTGCTGATAACCCCGCCATGACCTTGACACAATACCTTTCTAAGGGGTCAAGGAAGCTGTTCAACCCATTACCCGTTGATTTTACAATTTCATTAAATACATTTTAAATTTGTTTCAAAGACATGTCGTCAAGGTCATAAAATAATGGCCATAGGGTTGTAAGTAAGGAAGGGGGCATCCGTAATATTGGGGAAGGGGACATCCGTAATTGGGGAAGGGGTCATCCGCTTTTGTCAGAAAAAAAGAGTAAATGTGTTTGTTTTCTATGATATATTGGACTATCTTTTAATAAATGACATTACACTTTATAATCTAATAATCTATAATTTGCTATTATATTTTAAAATCACGAATATTAATAAAGACACTTTAAATAAAGACAACAGGCAAAGCAACCACTGGTAGATAAATATATTTTGATAATTTTATTTTATAGAACTAACAATAACTTAGCATTATATGCCATGGTCATTTAATAATAGCAACAAAATTATCTTGATAAATCAATCCGTTATCGATGTGTTGCAAATCAATGTCAGAGATACAGCAGATGAACGATGTATCAAAATATGTTCAACAACAGTAATACATGTATACGTATCTAGATTGCAGTGTTTGTTACGATGACACACACCAGAATATTTAGAAGAGATAAATTGCTTGATCTAGCGTGTACTGAATTAATATTTCCCGTGCTACTTCCTTTTTTATGAATTTTCGAGAAAAATTTGTTCAATCATAAACTACTATACCAAAAGAAATCTCATTTATTGGGATGTGAAAGACCTATTGATTGATTCCATTTTTTATTTTTATTTTTCTTTTTTACAAAAAATAAACTTTGTTAATTATAAGAGGATGTTATTTATCTCTCTCTCTATATATTTGTTTTTAAACTTTTCTGTAAATTTCTAATACAAGGTTTTTGTTTACTTAAGAGAAGGTAATTCGCTTAATAAAAGAGAAAATGCATTAAATATTTACACTCAAATATACTCTCAATCATTCAAGTACATTTCTTTACAATATCCTTTAATGTACATACATTAAAAACTTCTTAGTACGGAAACAAGGAACCTCTGTATAAGGGACTATAATACATGTATCTATGTCCCCTGAAATTCGTAATAAGCAGGTTTTACTGTCGATAAGATAAAACGTATATGTCATGTATTTGTTTTATTGAAAAAAAAAAGAGATGTGGATCAATTTCGCGCCGCACATACATAAGCATACAGTGCCAGCTGTCGATAATTGAGATTTTCCTGTTAAAGACCCATACTAGTATCGAATATCAATTATATTAGGGGTTTTTATCTCTGAAGTTCGAAATTGAAAATCTGCACAACGATTGCTCCGACTATCAACGCTTTTAATTTACAAAAAGAGTAAATTACAGTGTAAACAAAAGCTCATGGTAAAACCAGTGGCAGTATAAATCAGGCGTCGGGTAAACAGGGGTTAGTTATAATTTCTGAAGAGGACAAGATTGAAATTGCTCTCTAGAGATAATACACAAAGGCAAATTAACTTCTTTCGTTCTTAACTTTTAGCATTTAAATTAAATGCAGGGGAGAAAATCATTAGAACAACACTATTTGAAGAAAACCCCTTAAGAGCAACAAATGAAATCAAAAGCATACATTTCCATACAAATGAATCATCTTTGAATTTTTAAAATAAAAAAAAAACCTTAGTGAGTTTATAAAATACAGTAAGTTTTTGAAAATTATGATTTTTCAATTTGTTTCCATAGCTTTTCACATTGTTCCAGATACAGCACTAATATCACATTTTGATAAAAAAAATTGAATTTTTCATTGATAACGTCACACTTCCACCACAATACTAGATAATTGTCCTCAGATGACGTCAAAATCTTTTACGACAATATTGGATTGTTCTGAGATGTCGCTTGTAGGATGACAAATCAAACGCCAGAACAAGACCGACGAACATACAAACAAAGACGATCCCAACTGTCCCCCCGACCTGGGTGGCTGATGGCCGAGTGTCCACTGCGCTGGTCTTGGTGGCCTGGTAGGACGATAGCTGAGTCTTATCCTCCTGGAGGGCTTTCTTGGTCGCCTCCAGCTGTGGAAGTAATGCTTGGTATATTTCGACCAATGTCTTGTTAGCATATTCGTTACTTTTATTATTCCAGTAGTCAATTTTGTCCATGTACTCACAATCACAAGGACAAGTTCCATTTTCAGCTTCAAACAAAATTTATATATAAAAAAAATTGATTAGAAACTGAGGAGTAAGGTTACATTTATTTATGCTTTGCAAATGTATCATATTTTCTTGTCAAAATTACAACCCATATTATGGGATTTCATATGATGAGAGGAATTTTTAGTTATAGTTTATTTTCTATATCATTTGTTCATGATCTGAGCGTCATTTAATGTTTTCTCTTTGTATACATGTATAGGTAATATAATAAATAGTTAATAAATAAAAGAAGGAAGAACAACAAGAGAAATTATCAAAAATTGAAATAAAATTATTCACTGGTACTTTATCTAAAACACACAGTTATTAACACCCCCCCCCCCCCAATTCATAAAGATTCTAAACATAATTTTTTTTGTAGTGTAATGTTTATTACAATGTAATGATTCAATCTACTTTTAAAACTTGTAGAAGGACTCTTCACCATAACTTTCAGTGACAAAAGATTTCCTTTTTAACAGTTTTACAGGATTTGATGTATTGTATATAAGCATCACAAAAAGGGAATGTTATCGATTTTTAAACGTAAAGTAGAAAATTTCAATATAAACCCAGACAACATCAATAGTTGTGAAAGACAGTAACATCTACACATATAATTTAAAAGCTATTTGCAAAGTTCTATATGTTTGGAAATTCAATATATAGCAGGAAAATACATTTTTTGTCGATTTATTTCTCGTATTGTTTGATATCTTGTTATTGTTAATTTTGGAAATGCCAAAAAAAAAAAAAAAAAAAAAAAAAAAAAAAAAAAAAAAAAAATCATAATGAATAAATATATGACGACTTCTCAAACAGTATGTACTAATGAAACGGAATTTAGTTTTCAAGCAATTGTTTCATCGAATACCGAACCATTTTCTTACCTGTGTCAGCCATGCTGAACAGAGGATGAAAAATGAGAACACAGAATAACAGATAAAGTAAACGTCCTACGTGTTCCATGGTAATCATCCGCCGAAATGAACATCTACCTCATCTGAAGAATGGTACCCAAGAAACAACACTGAAAAAAATTAAACTGAAATCGATTTTCAGCATCTGTATCGAGACTTGACTCCTTCGTAATGAGGTGGTTCAGAATTCGAAGTACTTTCATTAATGATTAAGTGGTTATATTGATCACAATGAAGTGTAACAATTGATTTGGGTAGCAATCAATGAGACGTATAAATTGGTTAATTCTATGCTATTATAAATCTGAAGATGATGTACCTACACAATAAACGACTGGACTCGTATGTACGAAATACAGGAACCAAATAGTTCGGTAGCTTGCTCACCTAATTTTTCATTTTGCAATCGGTATTTCACAATGGATCGTATAGACTGACAATTGCAGTAAAGACGAACAGAATAGTCTCTACTCTTTGTAGGATTGTTGGAAACGCGTTTTAATGAAATGATAAATAATTATTTCTGATGAATTCAGTTTAATTTTTCATTTGAGGGTTGGGGAACCATATTTTCTTTGATTGTCAGATTCTATCGCAGTCTTTATCCATGGACGCTTTTTTTTTGAATGAACTATCATGCTAGTAGTAAATAAAGAGCTCATCACTCTTAGATTTATATACATCTTTAATGAAGCTACAAAGCAGGCAATACATGCGTTCCTTAGAACATGCACTCTAGTTTCTTTACAATACGCATGAGCACATGGGCCTTTGTCTTTGGCCAAGAATCCTCGTGACATATGTATTCACCGATAATACAACAAAGGAATACTGACTCAAATCGCCTTACAGAATGGGTTTGAGAAACCTAGAATTCTATGTTTATTCATAATTGTTTGTAAATAAGAGCATGGAAATAATAGATAATAATGGAAGTATTGCTTTTCATCCATGAAATGTAGGACAAAGTGATCATTGTGTTTATCCGATTTCCGAGTAGATCTGGCCTTTTCCAAGCGTAAAATTCCTGTAGCATAACCCGAATTGCAATTCAACTCATTCAGCTGTTTTGTCGGTTTTAAGTCAAAATGGTACCTCGTTTAGCATGGAAATTTAGCCTGACGCCAGAAAATAGAGTTCTTATGCAAGCATGTTTTTCCAAAAAAGAAATCTAAATACATAGTGGAGAAAATAATATAAACAAGAATACCTATTGAAGAAGTTTGAGTGAATTCTAGAGATATTAAAGTACATATCCACTAATATTAGTCAGTTGTGAAAAGTGAAAAGTAATATAACTTTTCTGTTTATCATGTCACTAGTCACTTTCTAGCTACATTTCCGTGAATAATTTACCTTATCCATTAACAGTCTCGCTGTAGTTTCACTAAATCTAAAACTAAAACCAGAGCTACTGCGAACTACTCGGGTATTAAAATTTGCAGAACACCGAAAAAAGGGTTCAAAAACATAAGTAGGGGTGTAGTTGGTCGAGCTGTCTAGCACGCTGTTCTTGCACTGCTAGCTTTATTGTATTGGAAGTTCTCTGTGATATATATATATATATATATATATATATATATATATATATATATATATATATATATATATATATATATATATATATATATATATATATATATATATATATATTAGGGATGTTAAATCGGTCAATTTTTGATAATCGGTTACTCGGACGTTTTTCCGATCGAATACCCGGGTACTCGGTAAAAGTGTAAAAACAAGTGTGTTAATTTTCTTGAGGCCCCTTTAAACCCCAAGGCTGTTTTTATCACATTTATCAATGTACTATATACACACCGATTCCAACGTAAATGATTTTTGGCTCTAAATTTATTTATCAAATAAACACAAAAGACATAATTATTAGATCAAAAATTACAAATGGTTTACAGTTCTTGTTTAGAATCTGTATTTCATCAAAAGGAGGACACTCTGTTACGCAGGTTTGTAATGATTAGACTAGCGAAAGAGAAGCAACGGACGTTGTTGGGATCGCTAGTCTAATATTATAGTAAGTTTAGTTTATAAGGGGAAACAATTTCATGTGTTGATTGCTTCCCCCGTATGCACTAAACTTACTACGCTGACTTTCAACATTTTTTTTTTAAATATTTAGTTATTTCTAAATATTTCTTCACTTTTGAAGTGGGTAGCGGCATTTCTATGCATGTCCGATTTCGCTGCCGTATATTAACTAAATAATTTAAAAATGATTTTAGGAATGACTCTAATTCTTGGCCAAATTATTCGAGTATAACCTGGTTTGGGTCAGTTTACGCTTTATAATCCGCGAAGCGGATTATAAAACAGCGTAAGCTGATCCAAACCAGGTTATACTCGAATAATTTGGCCAAGAATTAGAGTCATTCCTTATAATTTAATTCTACAATCATTAAACAACTGTGGGTGTAAAATTTCGTTGCTTTTTTTTAGTTCAAATTTGCCGCTCAATAATACAACACTAGTAACGGAAGTGATGGGAAGCGAGGGGAGGTAAAAATGATACATAGTCCTAGCAGCCATGTTGTTTGTTTACCTGTGGTAAGATCCAAGTTACTGTTTGAAGTTAAAGGTACATTTATTAAATCTGGAATTTTCCATGAATCCCGAGGACTGGAAATGAGAGGATTCCATGGATACAGACGATTCAGCCGGTTGTCAGGGGGGTGTGTCCCTATACCAAACCAGGTTATACAGAAATAATTTGTGTTCCTTTTTGGATATTAACCAATCAGAGGCTAGAATACTAACAAAATTAAATTATTTGAAGATAATAGACCATCGGTATTCACTGAAAACAGATCACTGAAGCCATCCAAAAATTAAGGACCACCATAGGTGAGAACAGCTGGGTCACTAATTACTGTATATACACAGCCACAGGCGATAATTGGTGTTTTAGAGGTGCAGAAGACTACACGCTATAATTATAACTATCGTATGCATATTTAAGTTAGTTTTTGATAAGTTTTTGATAAAAATAAGTACTTTGAAATAAGAAAAAAATACACATCCGAGTAACCGAGTACCATTTTTAGTATTCGATACTCGGACGTTCGATCGAGTACCCGGTTAACCGGGTACTCGTTGACATCCCTAATATATATATATATATCTACTTCTTATAATAATGCATACCATCTAACTAAAGACTTCCTCTCCTTTAACCTGTCTATAACTCTCGAATTCGTCCAACTATAGAGCTTTATGATGCTTAAAAATGCGATTAAACAAATTGAAATCAATAGAGTTCAAAAAGAGCAATTCATATCCGTTTACCTGCTAAATACCATCTGAAAGATTGTCTCCCAAAGCTCTTAAGAGAGTGTAGATAGTTATAATTGAAAGTTTTAATTTTTCATGCAAAAGATAAAACTCCTTTAAAGAGATCACATAAGATGTCTCTTGAGATAAAACTAATCAAAGTCGCTTACAGTGAACTAGTTCTGTTTGATACAAAATACAATGTTTTGACTACTGGATTTTTTTTTAATTTCAAGGAGCTAAATCATCTAACTTTGAAAATTTCCAATTTCTTTTGTTTTACAATAAGCCTTTACTTAAAATTTTTGTTTAGAAATTTTAAAACAATAATTCAAACCAATTTTTTTTCTCAGTAATAATGTTTTGCATACACCAGTTACAAGTCACGTCGACAGAAATAAAATTACTCACAAATGTAATAAATGAAAAATTGGAACAAAATATTTACTGTGACAAAGACATTGTTTTAAAAGTTTCAAACCTTTGATTTTTTTCATCGGCAAAATTTTGGTATTATGATTTAGTATATAGTAGTTAAAGGTTTGTAAACTTTAAATGTTATTATTCGGAGGAATGCATCGTCGTACATAAACACACCAGTCTGGTATTTATATAATAACATTCTTAATCACAAAAAGGTCACAAAAAGGCCCAGTCTTGTATTCCACCATATTTCAAGTTGAAGTCCACACCTTGTATTTCTTTTAGAAAATTTAAAATTACAAATTTTTGACAAAATCAATAACATCAAAACGTACGACTTTTCAACACTTTATACAACCATTCTCGACGATAAACTAAACCCCAGGCTTTTTGACATCAAAGACGGCTGCTTTTTCAATAAAAATGGAACCCGTAAATTTACATACCTTGGACGTCATTGGTAATTGCAAAATTATTTTGTTAAAACATTCTGATTGCACACACAAGTACTCTGAAGTTGGTATTAAAAAAGATGCTTGAGTTTCTGATTGACAATATCTATGTAGTTTTTGGAGATCAGGTCATCCAACAATCTGTTGGAATTTCCATGGTCACCAATTGCGCCCCCTTATTAGCAGACCTATTTTTGCATTCATATGAAGCAGAATTTATTCAAAAACTGCTACATGGGAAGAAGAAAACACTTGCTGTGGCCATCAACTTGACATTTAGATGTATCGGTGACGTATAATCTATTAACAATAGTTACTTCCATTCATATGTTGACTCGATATATCCCAGTGAGCTTGAAATAAAAGATACCACAGAGTCTGACACATCTGTTCAATATATGGATATTTTACTAAAAAAAGACATTAATGGTCACCTTACAACAAAGTTTTATGATAAACGTGATGACTTCAATTTTTCAATCGTCAACTTCCCTTACTTATGTAGTAATATACCCTTATCACTTGCATATGTCTCCCAGTTAATTCGATACGCAAGAGCATGCTCTACGTATGAACAATTTCTCAAACGAAGCAAGCTATTGACAAACAAGTTGATTAAACCGGGATATCAACACTCTCGTGTAAAGTCATCATTTTGCAAGTTTCATGGTCAATACAATGACCTTGTCAACCTATCAGTAAGTCAAATGCTGACTGACATTTTTCATACTAATTGTTAGGCCATTATTTACACACTAAAATGTCTACGGATTTCCCGTTTTTTCTGATCATGATAAGGAACACAAGGCGGGTGTGACCGGTCGGCAGGGGATGGTCACTCCTTCATGGCACCTGATCCCACCTCTGATGTTTTTGGAGGTCCGTGTTTGCTCTGCTCCTATTTTGTATTGATTAATGGACTTTTGAGCTTGAATACTGTTCGTTATCTCCATATA